CATGCTAAAAGGCGTCTTGCAACGACAGCAAAAATCAAACGATTCGATGCATTAATCGTAGCATCACAGTTTTGCGTAACGCTAAAATCGCAGACGAGGAGATAATGGAACTTAAATTTTGAGAATTAAAGGCTCCTTTATGCGCAAGTCAAGGTCTTTATCCTTAATTTATCGACTTCAATGAGGTGCATCTTTGAGCATTGATGTTGTTGCAAGTAAAGGCTAATTTAGGAAGTGACCTACGATGATGCCATTGAACTGTTTTAGAAGTACTAAGTGGTGTGCGTGTGTGTTTCTTGTCAGATGTATTGTGGAGCCGACCTTACCTTTGGGCGGAATTGGAGAAGAAGACACAGCACGCCTAGGGCGGGACTTGCTTCGGGGTTCACGCCTTGGCTTCATCATCTGAACGAATTCTAAAAAAAACCTTGCTATGGTTACTTATGCATGATACGCTCATATTATGGCAGTGGATGGGAGAGTTGGTGCTGAACCTGGATCTGACGACGAACTGGATGAGGTTGACGACGACGATGACGAAGACGACGAAGAACGGTAGAGAGGACAGTGTGCCTTGTGCTTAATGTTTCGGAATCCTAGGAGAAATGCATTGACGGATATTTGTTGTTAATTTGCAGGCCTTACAGCACTAACTATGGTGATGATGTGAATTTAGGTTAAGATTTTGTGCAACTTATGACGTTTTTTTAGTGAGAAGTAGGGTAGCATGACAAAAGTCTCTCAAGAATGTGAACCGAATAATTCGCACTCAACTAAAGCGATGCAATTGAGGAGCTAAGTAAAATTAAGAAAAGCATTCATTGTTCATTAGTTGGAGGAGGAAAGAGGGGTGCTTTGTTAATACAATCCAAGACGAACCGTTTTGTCTTGACGAACTCGAAGAGGGTGAATAATCGCGTCGCCGCATTCGATGGACAGCCTCGGGGCCATGATGGTGGCCTAAAAAAGGACGAAAAGTCGAAATTGAGGCGAAGGAAGTCCAAAATGATCACCTTACTGATCTTTCGAATCCAATCTATGTAACGTGGTCCATGAAGACAAGGAAAATGTCAATTTTATGTCAGTAATAGAAATGAACCAGCAGCACCTTGGGCTGCTCATCTCAATCATCATTTTACACTGAGCGAAGAAGAGAGATCGACTTTGGTAAAAAAAAACGTTAACACGAAGGGTTACTACGCACAAAACAGTTTTTGACATACAGCTCTTTGAGCCGGATTGACAGTTGGCATAAGTTTTGGTGAAAAGATGTTGCTGAGTGCCACATTCATTTACATCCACAAGTCTGTACCAGTCAACCTATTAAATTTTGTGCGGAAAATGCGGAAATGCAGGACATCTCGAAAAACCCTGCAACATCAAAATGCGTTACACGAAAGCAATAAAGTTAAGAAGGCGAGACTGGTGCAAGTGTGTGCAAGATTTGGAGCAGAGACGGCTTGTGGGC